ACTTTGTAAGGATAATGTTCTATTCTCACACTGAATTATAGGCTACTTGTGTGCATGAGGGTTTTACTGCACACATGCTCTAAAGGAGAAATCCATATCACAACAAATCACATGATAACAGCTTTTCTAAAGGTCTATCAATGAGGTTTACAAAACCTTATGAATTTGTTATTGGAAAACATAATGGACATGGCCAGAAAAAGACTTCATATTGGACAAGCAGTAATATTATCAGATTAATTTTATGGATTAAAAAACCCTAATGTGTTTTTGAATAATGTATAAATGAGAATGGTATGTTTGTTTAAATGAGATACATAAGCATTTGATGATCAAGCTTCAAGAACAAGATTTGGGGCTTGTTACCAAACTTGGACAGTTAATGAAATGGCTTAAGATGACAGCTCAAGCCTCCCCTAGGAAAGTCCGCCAGTGTATTCAGCACTGTTGTTTCACCATGGCCTGGACTAGCATTTGTCTTTGATGAACAGCTCATTGGTCCATGAACTCACATGGCCTGTGAATTCTGACAGTACAAATGGTGGGGTTCAGACCAATCACATTGTATCTGGCAGAAGATCACAGGATTCTGAGGGCACTAGACATCCTGTCATACAATGAAAAGCTGGAGAAACTGTGGCTACTCAGCTAGAGTTGAGAAGATGTCAGGGGATTGTAATAGAAGATTTCAAATATTTGAAAATCTGTCGAGTGGAAAAGGGACTGGATTCTTATTCTCTTACTAGTTCAAAGTGCAGAACTAGGATTAAGAAGGAATGACAGGAAGGAAATAAATGTATTTATAGACTGTGGATTACATGCCCAGTACTGTACTGGGTGTGTGTATGTGACCACCATTAATTCTTACAAAGACCCTGAGTGATAGCTGTTATTATCTCCTTATAAATATCCCACTGGAGAGACGGAGGTCAGAAAAATTAAACAATGCTACTGCTACTAATAATAGTAGAAATACTATTAACTACTAGTAAAAACAGTACCAACATTTATTGGGTGTGTGTCTTCTGTGTGTCAGACTCTGTTCTGAATGCTTTGGGTACATTAACCTTTTTCATCCTCACAACAATCTTAGGAGATAGGTACTATTTTTATGTCCATTTTACTGATGAGGTAACCAAAGCACAAGGGTCAACCCACTGACTTGGTGTCACACTTAATAAATGTGGGGTGGGGTTCAGAGCTAGGAAGTCTGGCTCTGTAGCCAAACCCACTTCACCTTTTGGTTTTTCTGCTTCTGTTTATGTAGCACTTGCTGTATGTCAGACCCCGTAGTTGACAATTTATAACCTCATAGCAACACAGCAAACTAGGCATTATTATTCCCATTTTACAGATGAGAAAAAATGAAGCTCAAAGGAATTAAGGAACTTGCCCAAAGTGAATGACTTAGCCAAAACTGTTACTCAGTCTTCAGGCTCCTGGCCAAGTCTCTGGATCATGCTCGGCTTTCTAAGAGATTCAGAATCTAGAACAGAAACTTTCTAACAAGTAGAGATATCAAAAACCAGAATGGGTTGCACTAGGGGAAGGGAAGAGGCTTAGGAGCTCCCCTTCCCTGGAAACCTTGGAATGAAAATTGATGTCAGCTAGGCAGGGCAGGGGTAGAGGGGATTCAAGCGTCATATAAAGCGTTGAACCAGATGCTGTAAGATTTTGTCCTGCTCTGGGATTTTATGATGCTGTGTTTTCTTCTCATCTTCCCACATCATCTTGTTTTCCCCTGGGTGTCCTCAAACATACGTGCAAATCTCACTCTGATGTTTTAATCTAGCTCTGGGGGTTAGATTGCCTTGGTTAGATACTCACTTGCTAGGATATTTGACATGATGCCTTGGGGGAAATGTTAGGTCATTTGAGAAGTCAGCCGCATAAACAGTAAGTGGTAAAGTTGTTAACAAAGGAGGAAAATGTTGTGTGAGGTTCTTTACACAATGTGAACAGGTAGATCTTTCAACAGCAGTCAGGGTCTCCCTTAGACATATATTTATAGTGAAAATGTTTGGCTTCTTGACTTTTCTTTCCAGGGTGTTTATCAAATGCCCAGTTTAGAAGTAGTGGTTTCCCCAGGGTTATCTCAACTTTAATTATCTCCACTATGACTTGCCCACTCTAGTAGATGTCCTGTTTTCAACTTGGAATGTCTGTGGGTAGAAAATTCTTCCTTCCTATGACCTCCAGGTGATATCTGTCATGTTGTCCTTCAGTGTGGCTATGACATGCTGCACTGTGTTGTCTTCTGAAACCATTTCTTGCTTTGTACTTAGAACTGTGGGTAACAAAGGACTTCAGTGCCTCTGGGTCAGGGGATCTATGTAAATTCTGCATTTGCATCTTTGTACTTTCCGCTCCCCCAGTCCCTTACTCTGAGTCAGTCCTCCATACATCTCCAGATGTCTCCCGGTTGTTGCTTTTTGATGACATCATGTTGGTGGTGTTGATGGCAAGCCTTCTCTGTTTGTCCTACTTTGGATTCATCATCTTATTTCAGCTCAAAGCTGAGAAGAATTGTGTTTCCCCTTTTTCCTGTCCCCTCTACTTTTCCATCCTTGGCCTTTAATTGTTAATTCTGCTAGATGTTTAAATGTTTCTCTGGGGGAGGTGGGAAGGTAGGAAAGAGTTAGAAGCAATTCAGAAATTCACTGGCACTCCCCATAGTGTCAGAAAGTTTATAGAGCTAAGATGGGAAACAAATTCTGTACCATGGGATGACTGGCTGCTCTAAAGTGGGTAAACTCAGAGAATAGGGACCTACTCACAGGAAGGGTTACATCTGTGCTGCTTTCCATTTAATAAATTCAAAGTTATGTCCATGATGTCCCTCTGATAAATTGAGATGGACTCCCAAAGGATTTTGATGCAATAGCTGTATTTATAGCACAGCTGAGTTATAGAAAGGGAGAAGAGGGGGTGGTGTCTATACATTACTATTAGGACAAAAGCTGGAAAATAAAGAAATACTATATACATGTATAGTATGTATAATTTATTCATATATATTTAGAGGTCCAGTTGTTAATTTGTAAAATATTCATTCAAATGTTGGTGGATTAAGTATAAATGCAAACAGTCCCATTCCAGTGAGCATCTTAACTTTTGGTATCAGAATATTACCCATCACTTTTAGAGGATGACACAATCAGCTGCAGCAGGAAACAGTTATTCATTCTCTGGGAAAAATACTTTTAGAAGACAGGAGACATTGGTAAGATTGCAACCACTGAGACTGAGTGTAATCGAGTCTCAGTGATAGAAAGGAAGACACTAAACTTTTTATGTATCAAAAAACCAACAGTGGATATAATCAAGAGTGTTTCCAGATTACTGATGAGATCTCAGTGGATTAGTGATTTTTCTGTGTGGTAACAGCATGTTCATTTCTACAGGAAGAATCCATTAAGTTTTTTGCAGAAGTTAAACTTTCTTTTTGGGCTTCCAGTTAGACCCACTGTGATAACCAGTTCACGGTTCCTTTATCCTTCTCTCCCTCCCTTTCTCTCTTCTCTTTGCTGTCCTTTTTCCTTCCTTATCCATCTTCTCTGACAAAACTAAAATGAAATAAAAAGGTTAACCATTGAAGAAATTTGATCCTATGCAGATTGCATACTTATGTCTTCATTTCCTCAATGAAATTGCCATTGTTAAAACATATTGTTTCTTAGAAGAAAAAATAAAGGAAAGAAGGAAACAAATGAAAACAAAGCCTGTAAAGAACATGTTTAGGGAAGTTTGTGTGGAGCTTTCACTGTGTTCTCTGCTGCATGTTAACTGTCATGGGTGGGGCTGTGATATGAAATATTGTTCCTTATTTAATGTTTCACACTCTAATCCCTGCATGGCATATTTGCTTCTCTTGTGACCTTCTCTTTGCATTTATAACTGCTTTTTTTTCACCCGTAATGCAAAAAATAAGTGTACATTCCTATAGAGAAATTAAAGGAAGCTGTCAGTGTAGAGTTAATATAGTTAAAGCATCCTTAACTCTGCTACAAACCCCTTAAATAATTAAAACTGTATGCATGAAAAGTCAGATTTGCATTTCTTTACCAAGTTTATTTAGTACACTTTGTTACACTCAATTAAATGAGAATGTTCTGTTTCATTTTCTTTGCTTCAGGATGATCATTTTGCCTTTTGATTCTTATGCCCTAGTGTAATTTCACAGTGCTTAGGTCTCTAAAACTATACATATATTAATGCATATGTAGATATATACATACCCATTAAAAGGCTTACTACTTGTACTGAATAGAATCTTTGCTCAAGGCATTTGAGCATTCCTAGTAAACTAAGGTGTAACTGGGACTACAGATAATTCATCCTGGTAAAGATGAGCTTGACAGAGTTCTTTTAACATCCAATTTTTTTTTAAACCCCTGTTATTTAGGCATCACCTTCCTTCCTCACCATTTAAATTGTGAATCTCTTAGCAAAAAAAAGATGATGATACAGGTGTTGAATGATTGTGGAAAGGAAATTAAATATAAACGCTGTTTCTCCACATTTCAGTTGGCAGAGCGTGTGTAGACTGTGCTCTATAAATTAGCTCTTTGCTCAAGTTATGCATGTTTAAGAAGGAATAAATAGTTATCCTCTTCCTAATGAGTAGTGGGATCAATTGGAGCATGATGAGAGAGAAATAGCATAATTTTGCTTCCCCGGTTGGGGTTTGGTATCCTTAAATTTCACCATTAATCACTCTATCAGTTTCCTGGGTTATTTCCCATTCTACACGTAAAATATTCTTTTCTTTTAATTTTTCTAGCAGGTAAGTAAGACTTTTTGAATTTTCCCAGTGGGGTTGTAGATGGTGATGCTGTGTCCTTTATGTCCCAAAGTGTCCCTTGTGACAATGGGCCCTTCTGCCTTTGCATTGGTTTGTCTGGGTGCATTCACAGATAAGAATCGATATGTATGTGCGATGACAATTGTGAGGGTTCTAATATGTTTAACTGTTATGGGATCTGTTATGTCTACTTTAGGGTCGACCCCATCCCATATGACACTCCAAAACCAGCGGGCCACACGCGGTTTGTCTGCATCTCAGACACACACTCCAGAACAGATGGTATCCAGATGCCTTATGGGGACATCCTTCTCCACACAGGCGATTTCACCGAGCTGGGACTACCCTCAGAGGTTAAGAAGTTTAATGACTGGTTAGGTAAGGAATGATTGCGTTCTGGCGGCCCCAATTAACCTTTCCCGTCCCAGTGTCACTCACTGCGTCCTAATTGAATTAGAGCACTTGGAAGCCAGCTCAGCCATTTCTCGTATGATATGCGGTGGTGTCTAGCTTTAATCCAATTCTGTTAATTAAAGATGAATTTTTAGATATTTAATTTTACTGTGCATCCTTTCAGTGCTTGGCCTTGGCGGCTCTGGGGCAGAGGGATGGAAAGCTTTGAAACCGATCTCATCTCACTCATTCTGCTTTAATGAGGGCATTCACTGGCACACAGGAGACCTAGAATCATATTTTTAATTCATTGGCTCTGCAATCTTTCCCAGATATTATGAGCAAAGATGTGCAAATGACCTACTAGTAAGAGAACATTTCTATTTTTTTTTTTTCCTTTTTGTCTTTTTTTCGTGACCGGCAACGGATCGCAACCCTCAGTGTCGCGCCCGCACTGGACCGGGACCGGCCATGGGATCGCAACCCTCGGTGTTGCTCCCGCCCCTCGGTGTTGCTCCCGCCCCTCGCTCAGCCAGTGAGCGGCCGGTCCGTATGTGGGATCCGAACCCTCGGCGGGAGCGCCACCGCGCTTCACAAGTGGCGCACTATAGCAGTGCGCCACCAGGCCGGCCCTAAGAGAACATTTCTAAGAAATGAAGGAGGATGTCAAAGTCCTTATGTGAAGCAAAGTTCCTACAGCATAGTACTGCTTGGGAGCAGGTTTCCTGAGTGAAGTGGAGGGTGTCCTAAGACCCCTGTAAAGATAAGGTGTCCTGCTATACAGCTGCAAAAACTTGGAATATGAAAGCACCCTGTACATTGTCAAAAGGATAATAGCAACTTTGTGGTTGCTGTAGAGGTACCCACAGGTTGGGGTTACTGCAACGTGTTGGATCCTCGGTCAGGCAGTTGCCAAATATTAGCATTACAAGGCAAACATGGGATTATTCATACCTAGATTAGAAGACAGATCTTTTTAAGAATACTGTTAGGGTAGAGGAAGAAGTGTAAGCGCTGTGAGATTTTAGAATCTCTAATGCCTGTAAAGAATGACATGGTAAAGAGCAGAAATCACTCTGGAAAAATAATATGTCATGAATTATATGTTAGCCAATGAAAATTACTCAGGAGATTTAGGCAAAAACTTTACGCTTTCTTTTTCCATAAAACCAAAGCAGGGTTTGAGAAGTTTTAAAATTATATATTAAGTGATGAGATGTATCTGTTAATGGAAAAACAATATTCATTAATAATAGTTAAATTTTTAAAAAATATAAGCAATAAATCTAACTAATGATTATTTTGATTTTTTATGTGACCTGCTCATCAATTCATGTTTTATGTAGTTGACATGAGAGTACATATCTGTTTTTTTACTTCTGGCTATTTTCATTTAATAGTATCTGTAAGACTTTAAATATTTTTGCATAATTTCCATATTTATCCTTTTTAATAACAACATGACATTTATGTTGCTGGCTATGCCTTTATTTAATGACACCCCTCTAAAAATGAACATTTAAATTGATGTCAATTTTTCCTCTGGTAGCTAGCACTGAAAAATGTGCATTTTTGTGTGTATATGTCTTTTTGCTGCCATGGACTTATTTCTTAGGGTAAAATACTACATATGATTAAGTTACTAAGTCAAAGGATAAGAAATTCTTGCAGGATATTGGCATCTTGCTTTCCAAGGGCATTGTAGGTATGGGCTTCATTAGCAGTGAATGAGTGTACCAGTTTTACCACGATGTTGGCAGCATGAGATATTGGAACTTTTACATTTTGTGCTGTTTTAGTAAGTATTCAGTTATTTTGTTTTAAACAGCAAGACATTTAAAATATCATTTGGCAGAATCTCATTTTTACAGATGACACAGAGGTGGAGAGAAGTTAAGTGACTTTCTCAGTCTCATTGTGGCAGAGTTGGTTCTAGAATCCAGTTCTTTTCACTTCTATTTTTGTTTCCTCTGTAAAATTTGCTCTCCAGTGTGATTATCTCTTTATTATAGCAACTTTTATCTGTGAACTATTAGCAGGTAAAATTATTTTTGCATGAATTTTGACAATTTTAAACTGTTCTGTGTCAATTGAATCTCAGCACAGAAATTATCAAGCTGCCTTGACAATGCTGATTTTTATAGAAAGGGAATGACACTGTGGGAAGTGTTTATAGAAATACAAGACAGGTTAGATCCCAGTTATAATCTTGTTGTGCCACTGACCTTGGGCAACTGAGTTAACCTCTCTTTTCCCCTTGGTTTCCCTCTGCAGAGCTAAGGATTAATACTGCCTGTCTTTCTGGATTGTTGTGCAGATTAATCAGTAAATGATTGCTGCTAGTAAGTTTTTGTGGGCCATTAATAACTGAATGGGGAATGTGGTGAATGAACCATCAACAGATATTTAAAGGGTAAAAACAAGAAGAGGTCAGAGGAATTATTTAGTAGATTAGAAGTAAACACTGGGCGATTTTATAAGGGAAAGGACTCCATAAATGGAAATGTGCCGTAACTAAGGAAATAAAATGATAAGGAAATAAAATACTAAGGCTCAGCTGCACGGTCAGTTCCTTCTCTTCTCATTTTCCGTATGATGTGGTGAGGTGGGAGCAAGAGGTCTCAGCATGGGGTGCAGAATGTGAGACTGAAGGGAGCCCATGGGATATGGGTAGAGAAGTTGGGATCCCATAGAGAAGACCCAGAATAGCTCACGGTTACCCAGGCAACCTCATGGTGCTCAGAGGGTGAGAGATGGTGTGTGATTACACTCTACCACTTGGCTCAGTCAGGAACTTCTCACCTGGAAAGGGTGCTTCCAGCAACAGCTGCCAGGTGGCCTGGCAGAGTGAGGTCAGTGGCCAGATCAGTCTAGTGCTTTTGTTGTAATGGGGTATCCAATTTTCACCGGTATGTGTCTCACAAATTTGGCAGGCTCTTAAAGTCTAGTGAACCTCTAATTGATTTCCCTCTTCCCACTGTAGTCTGGGCTACCCTGATTATTGAAAACAACCTTACTGTCTCCTAAGTTCCTTTACTCTCCCACTGAGCTAATCTGTTTCTACTAATCAAGGGCAGGCAATCCTATACCTATAACATCCCTCTAAAGTTACTAATGCCATCCCTATTTTACAGATGAGGGATATGAAGCTCAGCTGGGTTAACTTACCCAAGGTCATTTAGTAGGTAAGCAGCTCAGAGAGGCGTTTACTCATCTAATAAACCTGGGGCTGTCAGACTCCAAAATGTGAGCCCTTTTCTTTTATTATTCTGTGATATTATGAGTGGCAGCTAGGAAGCTTGCAGATTTTAGGCTTGAAGTAAAAGAAATATTGTTGCTTCTGGCAGCTTCATGTGTAAGTTGAGTGGCTGTTTGACCATTGCTAATATTGCATATATTTGAAAGACGCCTTTAATCCCTGCCCATCTTGAATTGTACCCTGACCTACCAGCTGCAAGTCCTGAGAATCCCATCATGAATTCCCTGCTGGTTCAGAGATGATGGGCCCTGGTTAACATGTACATATGTCACCTGACAGGTGTAATACACTGAGTTATTAATACAAGGTAATTTATGAGATAAACTAGCACAGCACAGGGTTATAAGAAGATGGTGCTTAAACCAGGTGCCACCAAAGGATAGAAAGGCAGTGCAGCATGTAATGGTTATGAGCAGTCGCAAAGGCCTGGCTTTCTACTTGCTGCCTTTGATAAGTTCCTTAAACTCCTGAACCTCGATTTCCTCATTTGTAAAATGGGCACGATAATAATAAGATACCCCATGGTGGTTGTGAGGATATACTCTGTGATAAAGCTTGTACCATTTTTAGAAAGTTTCCCGGCCTATAGACAATTTTCAACAGATGGTGTAGAGGGAGACAATAAAACCAGCCGTATAGACTCCAGAAGGCAGAAGCTAAAAGGGACTGGCACTGGGGCATTAAAAAGGGACTCAGAGTGTATGAGCGTGCACCAGAATGTACAAGAATACAGGCTGAAAACAAGCATCCCTCTTAACAATGACACTAACTGGACAGAATGTTGGGACTGGAAAAGCCCTGAGAGGCAGTTGAGTACTACCTCCTAATTAGATAGAAGTGGAAACTGAGGCCGGAGGGATTGGATGAATTGCCCATGGTCACTTAGCTAATGAATGGCCAAGCTGGGACTGGAACTTGGATGGGGCAGGGTGGGGTGGGTGAACTAACATGTACTGTCTGTGGGTGGCAGGGTCTAGATGCTGTACCTTTCCCCCCAATTACATGTATCATTTCATGCAATCTTCATGATAACTTGTGAAGTAGATATTATTAGTTTTTTTTTTTTTATACTCATGAGGAAACTGAGCCTTGGTGAACTTAACTTCCTTAAGACCATACGTCTAGGAGGTGACCTCAGAATTTGAACTTAGGTCCATCAGACTCTAATCCCAAGTGTGTTCTCTTATCATTCTCTATTCCCAGTCTGGGGCTTGGGATCCCTGCTGGAGGGGTCATATCCTGGGAAAACCCTGGTTCTTTGAATAAGCACCTCCTTTACCCACAGTCAAATGTACGTATGCTCAGGGTCTAAGGTGGGTTTACTTCATGCGAAAGCTGTTTCGTGTCATAGCCTGTGTATGTGAGTTGGGTGATGGAAAGGTGTTGTGAGGTTGGGAAGCATTCTTACCATTAGGTGTGGACCGTTCCAGTGGCAGTGAACACTAAAGACACAATCAATCATATAAGCTCCAAAGGATGGTCTAAATTACGTTGTGACATCAGCATTTCAGTGCACCAGACAATCCTTGGAATGAGTAGCCACTGATGAGAACCCCCAAATCTTGCCTTCTGTGGGCAGGTCTCTTCCACTTCTGAACACTTGAGTGACAAATAACCAGTATATTCCAACAGCTGTGCCTACTACCCCAATGGCCCCTTTACTCCAAAATCTCTGCCATGGGTTGGGGAGTGAAACTTTAAATCCTTATCTCTGCCACCCTGAGGG